TCGAGTTTTCTTCCAGCGTCGCGAACCATTCCTGAGCTGGTCCGACTAGATTTTCGGCAAAGAGCCTGCAGTATCCTGCTTCTTTCTCCTCTGGGGAGAAGTTAGTTCGGATAGCTTCGAGGTTGAAGGGTCGGATGTGAGCTTTTGGGTCGCTGTTTCCAGCGTACTCCAGGACTCTTACTTTGGTAGTGTCTCGGAGGTACGTGTGCATGATCGAGTATGTGAATGGAGTCCGTTGGGTCTCGCGAATTACTCGATCGATGTCGGGAGCTGAGCTTGTGGCTTGATGGAACATGGAGTTCATCTGCCGAATAGCATAATCGGTCTGGTTCTGGAATCTTTCGAAAGATTCGCAGTCGACCAGGGTTTCTGGGCCGACGCCGAAGTGGTTAGCTCGAGTCGGATCATTCGGAATGTGAGTTCCGAGTTGTTGGTGAACAAATCATGCGGGCTGTTCGCGGGTTCCGTTAGGAGGTCCCGAGCTCGAAAAACATGTTCGGCAGTTGACCGAGCTGGGATGGTGTTTGCGAGCTCGAGGCGAATGCCGAGGATCCAAGCCATCTCTGTCGAGGCGGCTCGGTTCCAGGTGGTCTTAAAGGTGGAGATGGATATCTCATGTTGGGACGAGGTCCCATTTTGGGTATTCCTGGGATCGGCACAGGTGGAGACGGATATCTCATCGCGGGACGAGACCCCATCTCTGGTATTCCTAGAGCTGGAATATCCGAGGCGTTTGGTGTCTGGTTCACCGCGGGGGCGAAGTTCGGTGGACCTGGAGCACGCAGAGGTGTCACGTATGGTCCGGGTGGATTATTCAGAGCAGGGATCGACGAAAAGTTGAGCTGAGTCCGTGGAGGTGGACTCACAGCGGATCGAGCTGCGGCTTGACGTCGTTCCTGCCTTTCTAATCTGATCTCCTGATCTCGTTGTCGATCGATCAGATGTGTGAGCATCTGGAGGGGAGTCGGGGGTTTCGACTTCGACTTCGACTTCGACCTCGCGATCTCGTTTTTGAGGTGCTTTATCGGTGTCTGCTTCCCTGTTTCGGGTCGAGCTCTTCTTGGGTTTTTCGCTTTTTCCCTCAGCCTTCTCGGCTTTTTCCTTGGCGAGGTTTTTCGCCAGGATCCTAGCTCGAGTTCGACATTCCTCGGTGGAATATCCGTTCTTTTTGTGGTGCTCGCAGTATTTGCTTTGGTCGAAGCTCGACTCTTTTTCAGGAGACGAGCTCTCTATGGCGTATGAATGCTGACCTTTGCCCTGCGAATCCCTTTTGGGGGGTGTAATGTTAGCTTTTTTCGACCCTGAGGGTGCGAGGTGGAGCTGTGAGTTACGGTATTTTGCTTCGCAGGCGACCGTTTCGTCTTCGAAGTTAGCGTATATAGAAACGCGATGGAGCGCGTCATCGAGTGAGTCCGTAGGTCGGAGCGTGAGCTCTGCCTTGAACCTCGACTGGTACCAAAAGTTGGTTCGCAGGGCTAGCAGGGCTACTGCTTCGTTAGGGTTAGCGATTTTTGCTTTGATCGCTTTGAATTTGGCGATGTAAGATCGAAGTGGTTCATCTGGAGCTTGGACTAGTTTCCAGAGATCGGCTTCGGTTTCTCGTTTTTCGATGAATATCGAATATTGCTTGAGGAAAGCTACTGCGAGCTCGTTGAAATTCGAGATCGAGTTTTCTTCCAGCGTCGCGAACCATTCCTGAGCTGGTCCGACTAGATTTTCGGCAAAGAGCCTGCAGTATCCTGCTTCTTTCTCCTCTGGGGAGAAGTTAGTTCGGATAGCTTCGAGGTTGAAGGGTCGGATGTGAGCTTTTGGGTCGCTGTTTCCAGCGTACTCCAGGACTCTTACTTTGGTAGTGTCTCGGAGGTACGTGTGCATGATCGAGTATGTGAATGGAGTCCGTTGGGTCTCGCGAATTACTCGATCGATGTCGGGAGCTGAGCTTGTGGCTTGATGGAACATGGAGTTCATCTGCCGAATAGCATAATCGGTCTGGTTCTGGAATCTTTCGAAAGATTCGCAGTCGACCAGGTTTCTTGGGCCGACGCCGAAGTGGTTAGCTCGAGTCGGATCATTCGGAATGTGAGTTCCGAGTTGTTGGTGAACAAATCATGCGGGCTGTTCGCGGGTTCCGTTAGGAGGTCCCGAGCTCGAAAACATGTTCGGCAGTTGACCGAGCTGGGATGGTGTTTGCGAGCTCGAGGCGAATGCCGAGGATCCAAGCCATCTCTGTCGAGGCGGCTCGGTTCCAGGTGGTCTTAAAGGTGGAGATGGATATCTCATGTTGGGACGAGGTCTCATTTTGGGTATTCCTGGGATCGGCACAGGTGGAGACGGATATCTCATCGCGGGACGAGACCCCATCTCTGGTATTCCTAGAGCTGGAATATCCGAGGCGTTTGGTGTCTGGTTCACCGCGGGGGCGAAGTTCGGTGGACCTGGAGCACGCAGAGGTGTCACGTATGGTCCGGGTGGATTATTCAGAGCAGGGATCGACGAAAAGTTGAGCTGAGTCCGTGGAGGTGGACTCACAACGGATCGAGCTGCGGCTTGACGTCGTTCCTGCCTTTCTAATCTGATCTCCTGATCTCGTTGTCGATCGATCAGATGTGTGAGCATTTGGAGTATCTCCACCGACTCCGACGTGCTCCTAGAAGCTGCGGGTATCGGCGGGGAAACAGGAGCTGCTCGGCTCTGTGATGCCGAAGCTGTAGGTGGATTCTCAGATCGCACCTAGGTTCGAGAGGAAGGTCTCTCGACTGTTTGTGACGGGCTATTCGTCGTACCCGGTGGGGTGACGAGGTTGATCACGATCGGTTCCACACGGTTGAGAACATTAGAGTTCGTGCCGGTGGTGTTGACGAGGATCGTAACCCTGGGTTCGTTTCCGACGGCTGTCTGGTTGACGTTGCCGGTCGGGGTTGCTTGATCTGGAGAGATCGGAATCGGTGAGATATTTCCCGAGGTTTGTTGTGTTGAATCCATTTCGGTTTCAGCTAGCTTAGGATCTGCTCTTGAGTAAGAGAAATCTATAGATCTTTCCCCGCAGACGGCGCCAAAATATGGATGCAGAAATCCACACTAAGAAATTTATGTGTTTTGTAAGGAAAGAAACTTAGAAGAATTGAGGGCTAGATTCTCTCGAACAAATTGACAATATAAGCTAGCACTAACTGAAATAAGGATTTTGTATCAATCGGTCGAATGAAATGGTTACAAAGATTTTAGTGTAGAAGATGAACTCAAGGAGCTCTGAGAGCAGTTATAGAGTTTCTAAATGTAAAAAGTGTGTCAGAAGATCAAGCTGAAGGTCCTTGAACTAAGCCGTTCTCCCTCTTTATATAGCTTGCTCCGTCGAACTCCGAGCTCCAGCGCGTATCTCGGCCATGTGCAGTAGCCTTAGCCGGATATCTCGCCACGTGCAGCAACTTCCTCCGCGATCTTCGGACTCGTTTGAATTAGCGAGAATATGCCCTGACTCGGCTTGGATTCTTCCTCATTTCTTGGGATTTGGTCGAGCTGGAGCTCGACCTCGTCGAACGGAACGTCTTGTTGCTCAGGATCGGGTTGTTGAAAGGTGAATGGATCTGAGCCGTAAGGTCGAAGCCCAGCTTTTTTAGCTTAGTTCAAATCTATCTGTTAGGCTTGAGTGGGCCGGATTTAGAATGTTAAATCCAGCTCCAACAATAGTCTATTTAATTTTCAATTAATAATATGGTTAGGTTAATACGAAGATAATAATAATAATATACACGAGACAACGAGACATAAGGCGGTTACGGCAGTTATGATGAGAGTGTAGTTATAGGCGTTAGAATTAGGGACTAAACGGCAAAAATGAAATGCAGAGACAGCGAAGATGATTTGTGAAATTGCGAAATTATGAAAACGTGAACTTACTAAATTTTAACTTTTAACCTGACCTAAAAGATAAGAAAGTAACTACTTCACTTCCCGTTAAGTAGCGGCGTTTATTTAACGGCAACGGCAGCGTTTATTTTTTTAGCGTATATATAAAGAAGACGGTTTCCTTGGAGACTGTGCACAGATCTGTCACTCCTCTCTGCTTCTTCTACCTTCTCTCTCCTCCGCTTATTTTCCGAGAAAAAGTGAGAAAATTTCGTTAAGAAGCTCCAATGGCGCCATCTCAGAAATTAACATCTGTTTCTTTGGCCGTACTGGTCGTCTTAGCTCTCACCGTCACCGCAGCGATTTTCCGGAACAATGAAATCTATCACTCCAGGTTTCTGTCTCCTTCTTCTTTCTTCGCCATGATTCCCTCTTCATCTTCGCATCTCGCATGTCGCGTCGTTCTTAAGTCTCCGTTTAAGCTGCATTGTCTATGTTCTGCGAAGGATTTTGACATTTTACTCTGATTGAAAAATCCGCTTGAACGATTTTTCCCTTCCTGGCATCTTTCTCTATTTGTTTTTTTCTGCTGCGTTGTTTTTAAGCCTCCGTTTAAGCTGCATTCTCCATTTCCGCAAAGGATTTTGACATTTTCCATCTCTAATTGAAAAATCTGCTTCAACGAGTTTTTTTTTCATAGATTTGCGCCCTATTTAACTATTTTGCAGCTGATTTTTTTTTCCGAGGTCTAGTGATGTCCGAGTCTTTTCATGAGAGTTTTGAGTTAAGACTCCAGATTCCGTAAATAACTTCTCTGTTTTTCGGTATATTATTTTGCTAGGAAGCTGAAAACAGAGAAGTTGCAAAGCTCCAAAAATAGCTCAACAATGGCGGCGAATAGGTAAAGAGGAAATTTTTTTTTTTTTTGCCGCCGCTCTCAAAACATGAAACGCGCTTTTAACCGCTAGGTTTAACCTTTTATGTTTGTTTTTAAAATTATTATAAAATAAAAGTGGAAAATTAACTAAACAATCTCAGCCGTTGATATCTGAGGGATCCGTTAAACCGTTCCTTTTTACACATGCTCTGTCTCTCTAGTGTGTAGAATTTAAAATATTTATCAAATATTCCACGTCAGTAAATAATTACCAGCGATGACAAAGTTAAATAAAGGTAAATTAGTCAATTTCACTAAAAGGTAATTTCTTTTCATTCTTGTTCCTGCGCAAGTTTGTGCTGTACTCTCGCTTGTTAGAAGTGATATTTATATTTTTTTCTTAAACTCGTTAACTATTTTGGTTGGTTAATAAATTAGTTTATGGTTGGTCGCGTCATTTGTGGCTTTTTGCAGGCTTGAAGGTGTCGAGTTGAATGAAGAATACGCGGTTACTGATCCAGATAAGATTGCTGATGAAGTCGCTACGCTTGTTCAGATGTGAGTTTCTCTCTCTCTCTCTCTCATTCCTCATTCTCTGGAAATTGCATTTTAGACTACACACGTGAACTTTGAGAAATTAATTAGAGAACACAGAAACAAAATTAATGAGTATGGAACAAAAATCTTGATTTATTTGAATATTTTAACCAAATTTATTTTCAGGGGTAAGAGGAAAAGCTTTAGTTTTTGTCTGTTACCTTTCTTTCTCTCTCTTTAATTTTCGTTGTAGATAGGTACAGACATGAAACCATACCTCGCATAAAACTGACACATTTGTCGTTTCACCACGCTCTTGCGATTGTCAGACTCCGCACGGACATTGTTTTGTTTCGTAACTCTTCTCTTTTTTTTTTAATGGTTTAACGGCTTCCTTAATTAATTCGATTTCTCTGTTACTGGATTTGGGGATTTGGCAACTGCTTCTACCATCTTTTTGTGACATTTAGTTTTTGAGTCTTTATCATCTTTTTGGATATTACGGTCTGTTCTGTTTTTAGTTTATTCACCAGCTGAACATTAATGGGACAAGCAAAGTTTCGATTTTTACTCGGCAACCACTTTTTTGACATCATAAACCAACAGGAAAGGATCCGGAATTTATTAAGTTAGGTAAGACGAACATAACGGCGGCTGAAATGTTTAATCAGCCTGTAGCTGTAGATTCCGGTAAAAAATAACAGGAATTGTTTTCACCATTTCACCTCAACGTGTGTGTGATTGATCTATCAAGTTTTGATTTTCAGGAGTGAACATAACATCACAGCAAGGAGAAAGCTTGGATTTTTCTCTTGTGGAACGGGTAATCCAATCGATGACTGCTGGCGTTGTGACCGTAACTGGCACAAGAACCGTAAACGCCTCGCGGATTGTGGGATCGGTTTTGGACGGAACGCAATTGGTGGTCGCGATGGACGCTTCTACGTCGTCACTGACCCGACTGATGAGGACGTTGTTAACCCCAAACCAGGAACTCTTCGCCATGCCGTTATCCAAGAGGAGCCTCTATGGATTGTATTCAAAAGAGACATGGTGATAGAGCTGAAACAAGAGCTGATCATGAACAGTTTCAAGACCATTGATGGTCGTGGTGCTAATGTCCATATAGCTAACGGTGCTTGCATCACTATCCAGTTTATCACGAATGTCATCATTCATGGTCTTCACATTCATGATTGCAAGCCTACTGGTGACGCAATGGTTAGAAGCTCGCCATCTCATTTTGGCTGGAGGACAATGGCTGATGGTGATGCAGTCTCGATCTTTGGATCGTCTCATATCTGGATTGATCATAACTCTCTCTCTCACTGTGCTGATGGCCTTGTTGATGCTGTCATGGGTTCTACTGCTATTACCGTTTCCAATAACCACTTTACACACCACAACGAGGTGATGTTGCTAGGGCACAGTGACTCGTACACAGAAGACAAGCTGATGCAAGTGACCATTGCTTACAACCATTTTGGAAAAGGACTAGTTCAGAGGATGCCAAGGTATAAGTAATAAAACTATTTGCTTTCAACTTCGTATCTAGATCCATTTGTTCTGATGGTAGAAGAGACTGGTTTTGTGACGGCAGGTGTAGACATGGGTATTTCCATGTGGTTAACAACGACTACACACATTGGGAGATGTACGCCATTGGTGGGAGTGCAGGGCCAACCATCAACAGTCAGGGAAACAGATACGCAGCTCCCATGGACCGTTTCGCCAAGGAGGTACTAAACTAAACAGAGTAAGTTCGTTTGTTTTGTTATGTATGGTTATCTCATACAATGTGGATCAAACAGGTGACGAAAAGAGTAGAGACGGATGCAAGTGAGTGGAAGAAGTGGAATTGGAGATCGGAAGGAGATCTTCTACTGAATGGAGCATTCTTCAGGGCATCAGGAGAAGGAGCTTCAGCTAGCTATGGACGAGCTTCAAGCTTAGCAGCTAAACCATCATCAATGGTCAACACTATTACCTCTACTGCAGGAGCATTAGGTTGCCGTAAAGGCAGACCTTGCTAGCTCTCTATCTAAACCACACCATAGTAACTAACCCTAAACGCTTTCCTTATACCTTTGGAAAGTGCATATATAGTACCATCTCTTCTTCTCTACAGGGTCATCATTGTTCGTTATATCCCACTTTGTGTTTCTTCCACGGTGGTAGGAATTGATCAACCTCGGCTTGCTTCTTCTTCTTCTTCTTCAGAAAGGTGGGAATACAAGCGCAGAAGCGTTGTTCAAAAGTTTTCCTCTTATGATTTTAGTTTTTCTCTCTTTTGGTTTTGGAGTTGTTAGGGGTCCTTTGGTTTTAATGGATCTCACTCCCTGAGTTCTAGAGTCTTTTTCCCGAGTTAGTGACAGTAGTATAAGCAAAAAAGTTGTTACAAGACGATTGATTAAGAAAAGCTTTTTTGATTTTTCTTTTGCAATTTCCGTTGTTTTATGTTTTGTTTGCTTGCTTCGTGATTCATTAATGGACGATGAGATTGTTTTTGAGTCTAAAGCAAACAAATTTGTTGAGAGTCAGTAGTGGTTCTGTTCCTTGCTCTGTACGTTATGTGTTGGTATTTTCTTTACTCTCATAGTTGATCACAAACGGCAAATCATGTGAAACATTATATCATCCCCCTTTACTTTGGCAACACCAACATTGCTTATTTTAGCCTTTTGGACAAATGCGTTTTACCAGATTCTAACACACGTCTCATCGTTAAGTGTATTTAATGAACGATACAACAAAACGATGCCTTTTTTCAAGCCATGGTTTCTACTCGTATTTGAGGACAATACTGATATCCTCAGAGGAGCTCAGAATAGCGAACAAGAATATAATCAGTGCTTCAAATCTTCAAAAGATTGGCTTCTCTCTAAATGGTGTCATCATCATTTGTCTGGAACACATAGCCAGCTTCCTTGAAGTGAGATTTCACCATTGCTAAAGACTTGTACCTATGAGATATCTTGTTCTTTTCTTCCTTCGCCATTTCTGCATAACTACAACCAAAAAAAATAAGAGAATCACCAAGCTTTATTCACTTTTCCCTTTTACCATCACCAAACAAATCTAAGTTTAAGTACGATGTTTTCTAGGAGATAACAGATGCATACGTTTGGTCATATTCATCAGGTTGAAACACTGGATCCCACCCGAAATCCGTTGGTCCTCTTGCTGGAACTATCTTACCCTTAAACATCAATCAAGGTAAAAACCAATCAAGCTTTGACAATTATTAACCAAAAAGAGAAACACAAAAAAAAAAAACGACTAGCGGATGGAGCAGAGAGCTTGATTAAAGAGTGGTGCACATACCGGAGTTTTCCCTAAAAATGTAAGAGGCTCAGCACCTGGACCATGCGAGAAAGAGAATGCACACAGTGCGTAAGCTGACTTATCTTCATAGGCCATCAGTAAGTTGTTCAGACCTGGACATGATTCAGACCAAAATTAGATGTTACCAGTGTAATAGATCATAGAACAAAAAGGCTAATGTGAGAAAGGGAAGAGAAACATTTGACTATTACACAACCTTCATGACCAAGCTTCTCAAGAAACCACTTGCTGCAAATACCACGAAAGAAGATCAGAAGGTGCTACAAAGAAGGACGTTAAAGACAGCTACATAACTCCAATACAGTTTCAATCTGATATTTACCACTAGTTAGATCCCAACAAATACATATCCCTAGTCTCATTTTCAATTCTTAGGATAAGGTTATTCAATAAGATAATTCCATTTTGGCTACTCACTCACACACTTAGCAGCCACCTTGAAGAAGAACTAAGAACAAGACTTGATCCAAATAACGTTACCAATCAACAAAGATATAGTAATCACCATGACATATCTATGTCTATAATCCCTTACTCTTATGAACTCATTAACCCTCATTCCGACAAATTGGTATATGAGACACTCTATCCTTCAAATGAAGATTTACGTGGATAGCATCAAGGGAGGAATGAAGAAAACTTACATGTATGGCCCTGAAAAATCCAATTAAAAAAAACAACAATATGAATTCAGAAAGTGTGTGACCATTTGCTGTGCGTAGAGTATACCAAAAAAAACTTAAAATCTATAAGAAATCATACCAGGAAGACCCTTCAATGCATTGAAACAGAGACATGTATCCTCCACTAGCACTGGCCCATTCACCTTCTCAATTACAACCAAAACACATTTCATATCAGTTTTTTTACAATCCTCAGTCACTAACTTAAAACAGTACACAAGAAGCACACTATGATCACAACAACATAAGTATGTCGAATTTTGTAATCAATTCAAGTAATGTGCAAATGAGTACTCAAACCAATAGTGGAAAAAGGTAAAAGCTTGAGCACCTGAAGAGCAGCTAAACGAGCCTTCTCTTTGGAGATATCCTCAGGCTCACCTTGAAGCTCAGGCACTGCAACTCAAGAGATAACAATGAGCCTAATGAAAATAGGAATCGAGAGAGAGAAATCGAAAGTCCTAGTAAAGTAAGTAGTACGCACGGTCGAGTTTGAGAGACTTGAAAGGAATGGAATTGCCGATTATAGCTTTGACCTCTTCGAGCTTCTTGGCGTTTCCGGTCACAAACGTCACCGGCCGTGGCAAAACCACCGCTGCTTTCGCCGCCGCCGCCATTTTGTCTTTCTCCGATAGCTTTTTTTTTTTTCACTGCAGCAAGAGACGATAAAGTCATCTAATTTATTCTTAATAAATAAATGGGCCAAGTTTGCATTTCTATAGGCCCATTAAGAGTTGTTATCCTTGTTCGTCAAATTAAGTTAATATTAAACCCATCATTGGCTTAAGTAAACCGACATTTGGTTCAATTAGGCATTTACATTTCGGATATTAGATAATAGCCTAATACAAATCGAATGCATGTATTGTTGTGTTGGAGCTTTCGTTGCCTTCTAACACAAATATACAATTTATCAGTTTTTCCTTTCAATACCCAAATATATTTCAAACTAATATCTTGTTGCAAAGCTAAGCTATTTGATCCTCTAACGATAATCGAGGTACCTATTTTCAACATACTCGTCTTTACAATAATCAGTTTTATATCCATCTTCTAATACATCTTGTTAAACAATTTCTATATTTTCAATTACGCTTTTTCGCATTTTAAATATTTTATATGTGTCTTTCTATTTCATATTTACCATTTAATTTTGTTAAGTATGATGTCTTATTGTCATCAAAAAAAAAAAAAATATGCTTGTTAAACAAAGATTTATATTATATTGTAGATTAATATGTATAAAGAAACATGTAACAGAATGTGTTATTGTTGTCTAATAGAACTCTAACTAAAAGATTTCAGAATTTTTATAAAAAATATCTCTTTAATTTCTCTCTCTAAATGAGTCTATAAAATCTTTTGTTTTCTAGACTTCCTAACATTTTCATAAGCTTTGGTTACTCTCTATCATTCGAAAAGCTGCCGATCTGCTCCAAATCGTTGTTTGGGCTTTCTAGTTTATCAGTATGACTCTAGTCAACACGACTTTAGGAGGAAAGTAAAATTCCAAATGGTGATTGAGCAAATCCAAGACTGGTAGTTACCAATAGAACTCTCTTGGAAATTACCACCTCCATATGTCAACACGACTCTAGTCAACACGATGCCAGAGGTTCATACATAGAAATGGTATCAGAGTGATGATGGATCATCTTGATTGATTGCGACGAACTGAATTAAGGTTCTTGGGCTTTTTCTCTAGGTGTTATTTAGCTAGAAGTTTTGTCGAGAGTATCGAGCAGGCTAGACATCAAAAATTCAATTATCCCGATATCCTTTTCGTTCTTCTTTGAATCTTTAATAGATTCGTGGCTTGAGGAGGAGGTAAGAGTTGGTCTTTTGGTTGGATTGACTAGGAATTCTGAGTCCTTTTGTCTTCTTGGTTTCGTCAGAGTTGTCTTGGTTTTAAAATTGCTAATCAAAGTTGTGCCATAACGAGATGTAAAAGCTTCGTCGGATGATAAGAATCCTGGGAGTGAGGGCTTCGTCCTTTGCTCTTGATAACCAGAGAGAAATCCTGGGGAGTAGGACCCTTAATACATAAGTATTCATAATGGCATACTTCCAAGAGGATTAAAGTATGTATATGCTTGATTCCGATTATGAATCATGCTCTCTAAGCATCTTTGGAGATCTTTTAGCTGGTTTTGAGGCTAGCTGTCTCAGCTTCTTTGCTTCTCAAATTGGACGTATTAACCATCATGAGCTATGTAGGCTGCTTAATCTTTTATTGTAGCCCTCAACAAGCTGATCAACTTATAGTTTATTGTTTTCAAAAATTGATTTTAGACTAAGGCATTCTCTGTTTGCCAATTGAGGACCTTTTCTCCTTAGCTTAGCTGGTCAGGTCTAGAAGAATTGATGGCTCTTATGAGGATCTTCGGACTATGAGCGATATCGTCTTTGGTGAAATCCTCATATGGAGGGAAATTGTTTGCTTGCATCATCATGATTTTATGTTCTTTCCATTTCTCCCAGTATTTGATAATAAAATAATATTTGCCATCACCTAACGGTCTAACAGTGGGATCGCCCTCGAGATATCTCTTATAAAGGGAATCTTTCTTTTTTCTTCGTCTCTTGCGGATTTTTTCGTAAAACTCATAGAAATCTTCCATGCAAGCAGCGCAAGAACATACATTAAAGTATTGATGTTCATTCTCATCCATGAAAGGGTATACGACTGTTCCGTCTTGACCAAAAGAAATTGGTTTTGGAACTTGCTCCCTTGATGAACCAAGGAAATCGTGTTCATCAATTTGTATAGCAAATTGAGTGAACAGTTGCTTCCGAAATGATGATGATCTTGGGTTTTTTGAACTTTATCTCCGTTGTTCCATCATTTCGAGAATGGAAGCTGACCTCAGATGTCTGGACCGGCATCTGGGTTGCCTGATGTAGGTTTTTGTAGCTCGTGACCCATGATTCCTGTAGTCGACGTAGTAACTCATCGCGAGAGATTTCTCGAGGAAACTGAATTGAGTTGGGTGCTTGCGATGCCGATGTGACTTCGAGATATAATGCTTCATCAGATGATGGTAGTGCAAGATCAAGAGCATGATCTTGGATTCGATAGACGATCTGATTGTGTAGGATAGCTACGACGCTTTTTTCTTCCATAGGTGCTCTGACTAGTTGCAGCTGAACTTTGAGCGTTTGTAGAATATTGGGATCTTTTAGAGAAACATTAAAGTTTGGAAACAGTGTTACAAATACTGTTCCTGCATTTAATGTTGTCTGAACCGTTCCAATGCAAGCTTGTTGGTATGACCTTAGCCTTGAGTCGACTAAAGCTATGGGTGCTACCACTGGTAGACCTTTTCGAGCGTTTAAGGTCAGACCAATTCGTACCATCCCAAAGTGCAGATGAGTGTATCCTTGCTGTTGCCACAACCTTGGTAGGTTTTCTGGAATATTGAGCGAAATGAATTGTTCTTCTTCTGTGGCTGGGACTTGACAGGATGAAAATTTACTGGATTGCATGACTCTTCTGCATGAAGATGGTTAAATGAGTTCACGAACACCTTTGACTGAAAAGTAGCTAGGCTTTTTAGTAAAGTATCTGTATAGATTCACCAGTGGGAGGGTAGTTTCTAGTAATTGATCTCTCAGAACATATTCGATTTCGTATAGGGAATTTATGCTGGAAGAGGACATACAGCTTTTGTTTTTTGGTAAAGTAGAAATTGAAAATGGAGAATCAATGGATAAAGGATTTGTAGTAGACATGGTGAAAAAGTGTTTTTCGGAACATTAAAAACAATCAATCATAAACAATAATTTTTTTTTTTTCATTTCGAAAGCAGAGGGCTATGATACAATTTTTTGGCATGGACCTCTGGCATCGTGTTGACAGACGGGGTGGTAATTTCCAAGTAAGGGAGCTGTGTTGAGAAACTACCGGCCTCTGATTTGCTCAACCATCGTTAGGAATTTTACCTTCCTCCGAAAATCATGTTGACTAGAGTCGTATTGATAAACCAGAAAGCCCAAACAACGATTTGGAGCAGATCCATTAAAATCTTCGGAGGGAGTAAGAGTTGGTCTTTTGGTTGGATTGACTAGGAATTATGAGCCCTTTTGTTTTCTTGGTTTCGCCCGAGTTGTCTTGGTTTTAAAATTGCTAATCGAAGTTGTGCCATGACGAGATGTGAAAGCATCGTCAGATGATAAGAATCCTGGGACTTAGGGCTTCGTCCTTTGCTCTTGATAACTAGAGAGAAATCATGGGGAATATTCATGATGGCATACTTCCAAGAGGATTAAAGTATATATCTGTTTGATTCTGATTATGAATCATGCTCTTAAGCATCTTTGGAGATCTTTTAGCTGGTTTTTGAGGATAGCTGCCTCAACTTCTTTGCTTCTGAAATTGGACGCATTAACCATCATGTGTTGTGCCATTGCTGTCATTTCTTGATGAAGATTATTAAGTCGGCCATGGATCTCTATTATTGAGATTTGTAGGCTGCTCAATCTTTTGTTGTATCCCTCAGCAAGCTGATCAACTTTATGGTTTATTATTGTCAAAAGTTGATTTTGGACTATGATTTATTATTCTCTGTTTGCCAATTGAGGATTTTTTCTCCTTGGCTTAGCTGGTCAGGTCCGGAAGAATTAATGGTTCTTATGAGGATCTTCAGACTATGAGCGATGTCGTCTTTGGTGAAATAGTCAGGTGGAGGGAAATTGTTTGCTTGCATCATCATTATTTTAGGTTCTTCCTTTTTCTCCAAGTATTGGACTATAAAATCATATTTGCCACCACCTAACGGTCTAACAGTAGAATCACCCTCGAGATATCTATTATAAAAATGATCTTTCTTTTTTTTCATCTCTAGAGGATTTCTTCGACAGACTCGTAGAAATCTTCCATGCAAGCTGTGCAAGAACATACATCAAAGTGTTGATGTCCATTCTCATTCATGAAAGGTTATACGACTGTTCCGTCTTGACCAAGCAAATTAAATGAACAGTTGCTTCCAAAATGGTGATGATCTTGGTTTTTGAACTTTATCTCCGTTGTTCCATCATTTCGAGAATGGAAGCTGACCTCAGATGTCTGGACCGGCGTCTAGGTTGCCTGATGTAGCTTTTCATAGCTCGTGACCCATGATTCCGGTAGTCGACGTAGTAACTCGTCGCGAGAGATTTCTCGAGGAATCTGAATTGAGTTGGGTGCTTGCGATGCCGATGTGACTTCGAGATATAATGCTTCATCAGATGATGGTAGTGCAAGATCAAGAGCATGATCGTGGATTTGATAGACGATCTGATGGTGTAGGATAGCTACGATGCTTTTTTCTTCCATAGGTGCTCTGACTAGTTGCAATTGAACTTTGAGCATTTGTAGTATATTGGGATCTTTTAAAGAAACATTAAAGTTTGGAAACAGTGCTACAAATAATGTTCCTGTATTTAATGTTGTCTGAACAGTTCCAATGCAAGCTTGTTGGTATGACCTTTGTCTTGAGTCGACTAAAGCCATGCGTGCTACCACTGGTAGACCTTTTCGAGCGTGTAAGGTCAGACCAATCCGTACCACCCCAAAGTAGTGTTCTGCCTTTCGGTTTAAAGACTGCACCTTCATTGTTCCAGCAGGCAATATTACGAATATTCAAGCCCCTAATTGACACGACTTTAATATACATCGACAACATTCTCTTGTTCTCGTCAAGTGAAAAGAGCATATTCAGACTCTCAAGAAGTTTCAAAGCATTATCAAGGAATTCAGAATTATGCTCTTGGCCAGAAAGATGACTATAGCTCAGCCCAACATCGACTTTCTTGGAATGAAGATTACAAACGGACAGATCACACCACAATCTCATCTAGCTACAGCTCTTCTCGATTTTCCAGAAGAAAATCTCACAAAGAGACAAGTCAAACAATTCCTTGGGGTAATCAATTATGCAAGCAACTTTATCTCGCAACTTTCGCGTTGACAAGACCACTCCAAAAGATGCTGATGAAGAATCCACCACAATGGCCAAAGCGACAAACTGAAGCAGTCAAAAGGCTAAAGATAGAGATACAAAAGCTACCACCTTTACAGATTCCCTCCTCGGGGACACGTATTCTGCAGACTGATGCAAGTGACAAATATTGGTGAGCCATTTTATTCGAAGAGATAAATGGAAAACGTCAAATCTGTAGATATAAAGCGGACGCTTTAAAGATACAGAAATGCATTATCACTCCACGTTCAAAGAAATCTTAGCGGTCAAAAAGGCTATCGAGAAGCTCGAGTTCCATCTGATAGGACATAAATTTTGCATTAAAATGGATATGTCTTCTTTCCCAAAGATGTTACAATTCAAGCAAAAGATGGTCCCACACCAGCAGCTATTACGATGGAGCGAATGGTTTTCAAAGTACGACTTCAAATACTTTTATTTAAAGGGAAAAAAGAATACTCTTGCAGACATGCTCAGCAAAAACCCACCAAAGGAAATTCATCTGATGGCGAGCTCTTCTATATCAGAAAAAGTTATTACGACTTCGAAGCCAACATGCCCGAAGACGCCCATCAGCTAATCAAGAAAAATACTTTACACGAGCATCTTCAACAAAAAGAATCTTCCAATATCAGTCCATCATCTTATCAAAGCACGACATCAACTAACACTACATCGCACCAATGAGGATCCACCCGGACTATCCGTTCGTTCACCTCTACAGGATAAAAAAAATTAGAATATACCAGAAGAAGTTCTATGTTTCCTATGGTATCTCTGCTCAGTTTACACCATTGGTATTACCTTTGACATATGATGGCTGTATCAATACATCAACGTCCAGCAAGGTCAAAGAGATTGTCTCTTGACTTTCTTGACATGGTTTGCACCATTAATCATCTGGAGCGACAAATTAAGAAGATCAGTAAAAGCAACAAGTTTACCATTCAAGAAACTAAGAGGTCGAAATAGTCTCAATCCTTTCTTCAACCCCCATACTATATACTTCTTGACCTGTTTAAGTCAACATCAAGTCCAACAAACTTCATGCACTACCCACACTCATCCACCACAACGGCTACCGAAGAGCAATCTATCCAGACTTCAATATCCATGACAACAAGCCATACAAAGACTTTCAATTACACACATTTCGTCTCCACAATGTCAGGCAGACGTTTCCCGTTCTGTTTAACCCAAGCTGGACCTACTATACTACTGACTACCAGATGAGCCTCGATGAAGATCTAAAATATTTCATGGAAAAACAACAATGCATGACATATATTACGAAGGTAATAAAGATGGACATTCCGGAGATAGTAAAACAAGAACCAACATCTCAATATTGCCTGCCAGAATATTTCCAAGATGCACAACTCCCTGATGACACCATGAATATTGATGAAATCAGGAGAATGTTCAACATCGACGTTAATACAGAACCTGAGAAAAGCTTCAAAGAACCAGAAGAAGAATATGAATGTCCAAGAGATCATTACAGCTGTTGCGACAAACATATCATCGAGTTCGAAAATGAATCATTAAATGAAGTAATCTAAGTATCTCATTATGTATAACTATTAATAAGCATGTTTAAATAAGTAAGCAATGATGATAATGTAAGCGATGATATAATCGTATAAATAATGATGTAAGCGCTTATGCCAGCACACCATTCCTCCCCTATATATATATGTACCCCCATTGTAAGAAACCATCTCAGAATTTCTATAAAAATCTCTTTTTAGTTTCTCTCTCTAAATAAGTCTGTAAAATCTTTCGTTTTTCAGACTTTCTAACATCTTTATTGTTGCCTAATAAAGCTCCATTTGACAACAATAACATATTCAATTTCGCAAAATTCGGATTTGGAGCAGATCGGTGTTTTTCTGATGATAGAGTAACCAAAACTTATGAAGATATTAGGAAATCCAGAAAACGAAAGATTTTATAAACTCATTTAGAAAAAAAACTAAAGAGATTTTTTATAAAAATTCTAAGATATTTTGGTTGGAGCTCTATTGGACAACAATAACACATTTTCAAGTAAGGGAGCTCTGTTGAGCAACAATAACACATTCAAAACTCGGATTTTTCGCTTGGTTCCGGTCAATAATCGCGGTTTAGGTGCTTTAGATTGGAAACCTTACGGTTCAACTTTAAGGCAATGTTGGAGGCTTTAGGTTGTTTTTGGCTTTTACAAAAAGAAAACGACGCCCTGAACGTGACCCAGCTGTACCGGGACGGGTTGTTTTTGCGCATTTGGATTTAACCTCTCCGAGCAAAGAGAGAAAGAGACTAAACATTTCCCAAAATCAAAGCTCAATATCGAAAAATCATGGCTAAGAAAGGTATCCCTGAGTGGCTCAACAGTTCCCTCTGGTCCACAACCTCTTCTCCTTCTCCCGTCGTCGACGATCGTCCTCTCCGTCATCCTCCCGCCGCCACTACCGTCGCTCCTTCTCCTCCGATCGTGGAGCGTCCGCCTCTTTCTCCTTCTCCCTCCGCGATTTCCACCTCACCATCTCCGCCTCTTCCGGTTCGTCCTCCTTTCAAATCTGAGATCAACGATTTGCAGAATGGGAGCGGTAAGGATGGACCTGGAACCGAAACTCCGGCAGCTGAGGATATTTCTCGAAAGACGCAAGTCGTCGCTGAGGTTAGTGGTTAAAAAGCAAACGCATGCTTCTGTGTGAAATTTTGATTGATTGCTCTTTGTGATTTACTTCATCTGGATATTTTTCCAGTTATCCAAGAAGGTGATAGACTTGAAGGAATTGAGGAAAATTGCTTCCCAAGGTCTACCTGATGATGCTGGGATTCGATCCCTTGTCTGGAAGGTAACACATTAGCTCCTTTGTTTTCATTAGATAGTGAAACGAATACGGATCATTATTGTCACTGTCATTTTAGTAATTTAATGCAATCTATTCTTGATCTGTTGAATTTCGTTGAATTTTTCTTGTGGTTTCTATGAACTCCTTAGTGTGGTATGGAAGTGGTAGTGTTTACTTTGTTTTTGAGGATGAAATTTTTAAAAAGATGTAAAAGGAATGGATTTCAGTTGCCTTTTCTGTCAGTTTTTGCTTCATATTGTTCTTTTTGAATGTTGGCAGCTTTTACTGGGTTATCTGTCACCGGATCGTTCCATGTGGTCTTCTGAGTTAGCTAAGAAAAGGTCGCAGTACAAGCAGTTCAAAGAGGAGCTTCTGATGAACCCTGTAAGTCCATTTCGGTGATTTGATACTTGAACGTGGTATTGATTAGGTTTGTGAAGAGAAGCATAGTAGGCTTCGTTGTTCTCTTTTGTTAATCTCTTGGGGAGATATTCCATCAAACTACTGATTAGAGTGGATGCTATTCTTATAAACTGACAGCTAGCTATGTTGATTTAATAGACACAGTCGCATTTGATGTAAAAAAAAAGGACACAGTCGCATTTTTGTTAACCAAGTGAATTGCCACTAGCTAAAGGGGTGATGATGAAAATGCACTATCAATAGAATATGATGATTGTCATTAGGTGATATGTTGACCTAGCAGAATTCACTTATTTTTAATGGGGAAGCATGGGTTTTAATTGATCCAGAAGCTTGTTTGTGTTAGTATATTATGATGGCAGCTAAATAGACTTCATGCATTTCACTAAACAGACTGATCTAAGGCCATTGGGCATGTAATACTGCCTAATGTTACAATCAGAAGATATATTAGTTAATAATGAAGAAGTTGGCCAATGTCGATGTGCTTACGTTATCTAGGTGATATGCTCTTTCTGTTCATGTTTCTAATTGTTTTCAATTGAAGATTACCCTGGTTTCTATATATTTTTGTGGCTAGTAGTCAGAAGTAACGAGGAAAATAGATAAATCAAAGGGTGGTGATAGCAATGACCCGAAAATGGAAAGCCCCAGAGTCCTTTCAAGGTCCGAGATTACTCATGAGGATCATCCCTTAAGTCTCGGAACAACAAGCTTATGGAATAATTTTTTCAAGGTAATTAGATTTCAGCTTAAAATATCCTCCAATATTATGTTTTTTTTTCTGAGACTATCGAAAAGTTTAATTGTTATTAACTTATTATCGAATTTTGTATTTTGCCTGATAGTCTTAGAAAGATATGGGTAATAGATGATGTAGTTGAGGTATATGATTCTCAGATATTGGGATGTAATTGCTGACTTATGACATTTAAGAAAAAAAAACTACATTCTTATTCATGATTTGCCTCTTCCCAGTTGGTTTTAAAAGCAGAATTAGGAGCGGTATAGGAATTGGAGACGTACAACCTCTCACTTAATGTCTGATAAACAACTTTCTTGTGATTATTTATACCTTCAGTTATAATGTGTTTAGAATAGTTAAGTTTTGCTACGCTCAAACATTTGTATAGGGTGCCTTGTCACGTTGAGCAAAAATGTGTAGGCAGGCTATGATTATAATGGTGTTTATTCCATAGGCATACACAAAGACAGGGTTCTGATTGAAGCTTTAGTTCTTTCAAGGCTTTGTGTGCCCCGCTTTTCTGTAAACGCATGACTCATTAATCACAGACATGATCATTATGAAAAGATCATTTTCTCTTCCTGGTTTAGTATAGTGATTCCGTTGTTGCATATAAAGCTGCAAAATCACCAATCCTAATTTCAAGTTGGTGCTGTTCAGGACACAGAAGTCTTGGAACAAATCGAGCGTGATGTGATGCGTACTCATCCAGACATGCACTTTTTCTCTGGGGATTCAGCAGTTGCAAAATCTAATCAGGTGGGGTTTTGGTTTGGCTATAGTTTTTAAAGTGTTTGGGATGATTAAACATTTTCCTGCTGATATTATACATGTCTTGCATCTTCAGGATGCTTTGAAGAACGTGTTGACTATCTTCGCAAAGTTGAATCCTGGCATCAGATATGTACAAGGGATGAATGAGATATTGGCACCTATTTTCTACATCTTTAAAAACGACTCGGATAAAGGAAATGCAGTAAGTACTTGTCTTTGCTAATGTACCATTTATTTTCCTTTATACTCATATTTTTCTACCTCGTTTGGTTCTTTTGGGGTAATATTATTTGCTTAACACTGGCATTATAAGTTATGCAGGCGTATGCTGAATCAGATGCATTTTTCTGTTTTGTCGAATTGATGAGTGGGTTTCGAGATAATTTCTGTCAACAACTTGATAACAGTGTTGTGGGTATACGTTACACTATGACAAGACTTTCCATGCTCTTAAAGCATCATGATGAAGAACTTTGGCGTCATCTAGAAGTCACAACTAAAGTAATATATCACACACAACTTTATCTGATGAGACGTTTTGCTATATTCCCGAATTATGTTTCTAAATAAAAGATTTGGTCTTGCTAGTTCCACTGGCTGGTTCAGAGCTTTGTGTTGCATGAACGTTATATCCTAAATACTAGATGTAAAACACCCAAAATTGTACCATTGCTTTTAAAACCTTAATTTCTTCGAGCTTCGATATTTCTGTTTAGATGTTTCAGCTTTGTGACATCTGAGACCTTTTTGTCAGATAAACCCGCAATTCTATGCGTTCAGATGGATCACACTCCTATTGACTCAAGAGTTCAACTTCGTGGAAAGCCTTCACATCTGGGATACACTCTTAAGCGACCCTGAAGGTCCTCAGGTAGTAATAAGTTTATTAATTTTCAAATGTTGCATTCTTGTGAATCGTTGTTTTAATGGTTTCAATACCTCAGAGAATTAACAGATATCAACAGTGACATGGTTTGGTATGTGTTATGGTCGTAGAGATTTGGTTTGGGTTTGTATTCTATTGTAAAATTTAAGCTAGCGGAATTGAGTTCTTGTTCTCTAACAAGTGAATACGGAATTTTAATTGCAGGAGACGCTGCTCCGGATATGTTGTGCAATGTTGATTCTAGTTCGAAGGCGTTTGCTTGCTGGAGATTTTACATCGAACCTCAAGCTTCTTCAGAACTATCCTCCTACAAACATCAGTCATATGCTCTATGTCGCAGACAAATTACGCTCTAAATAGAAAATCTTCAGGTTTAACAATAATTCACTCCTTTCTCCCTTCTTGTTGTTTTTGGATTCATAAAACTCTGCAACTTTCTTGTCATGTACATTATCGTGTAAGTTAATTTTAGCTGCCTGATCAAAATATGCTTCAGTGTTAAAGACTGATAACGGTAATGTTGTGTAAGAGAGATATTAATAGAGAGTTTTAGGATCTGTCTTTTCTTATATATTTTTGCTTTGATCAGTTCACGCAAGTTTCTTGGTTTGATTTGGTAAATTATTTAAATCTTAAATAAAAGATTTGAAAGAAGTAATTGATGATGAATGTTTAGTACAAAGTCAAAACAGTTTTTTTTTTAATTTTCGTCCATTAAAGAGAATTTTACTTCTGAAGAATCAAAAGTTGGAACTAAAAAGTTCATTAAGAAATGAGTTCTGGAACGATTTTACTAATCTTATTCTTTATTATGATTCTCCTTTACCCATACTCTTATCTCTTCTTATCTCTTCTTCCTCTTTGCTTCTTTTCTGTTGTGCTTTGTTCTTGCTACTTACTATCTTCTTCTTGGAGAATTCTAAAATTTTGTAGAAGACACAAAAAAGGGATCGATTCGTTGAGTATGTAATAGCTATTGCTTAGTTCGGTACATGTTGAATGGTTGAATTTCATGTCAAATGCAACCTGACATATTATCTCAACTCTCTTATTACAATGTAACCTCTCTTTGTTTGTATTTCATGTCAAACTATTTTTTATTACGCCCATCATAACATAATGTCAATTCATAACCGTGTTATATACTTATATGTTCTATTTACGACATAATCAATGGTACAGTGTAACACAATTAATTATTCTGAGTATTAATTTATTAAAATTTAATATATACCGTAGAAACAGTATAAATTAATACTTACTAATTTTTTTATTAATTTTAAATTCAACCTTTTCAAAATATAATAGTAACATAATATTTTTAAAAAAATTTATATTTAAGTATACAGTTCATTAATATTATGAATTGATACTCTTACTATATACATCAAAATTAGTAATTCACATGATCATGACACCTGTTGAGTCATCCGATCTAGATTATAACACATGTCGTGAATAAAGTTAAAATAAAGTCTGTTAAATAAATAAACAAATATAAAAATATCAATTAAGAAAAGTAATATAAATAAAATGATATCTTTTAATTAAAAAATCAAATTAAAAAGTTAATAAAAATAATAGAATATATTTCAGTTAGAAAAAGAAATTTAAAGTCAGTAAAGTTAACTTTAATTTAGTTTAATAACAAATGTAAAGAAGACATATTTCAATTAGAAAAAGAAAAATAAAAAGAAAAAAAGAAATAAAATCAATTTTAATTTAGGAAAATATAAGTTAAAACACTAATCTTTAGAAAAAAATGAGAATTTTATTCACATCAATATAAATAAATCAAGCCTGTCATAATTTTTCACCAAACAAGATAATACTTGTTGAATTTCTTTCAATTGTAGTTTTTTCTTTTATTTTTTTATTATTATAAGATTATTGCATTATGTCATATGCAACTTTTTTTTTGGACATATAAAATTTATTATCAAACAAATTTTGACACGTGTTGCGATTTAGATTTTTGGCGCAATTGTCACCGGGAATTGGATTTGCTGTCTCTAGAATCACAATTCAAAGACATCTTTTTCGTCTAACTCTAGTTTTCTATCTATGAGTGACACGAACCCACTTGGCAACTCTCGCCCACTACCACCACCACCAGATCCGCAACACTACTTCCGTAGAACTCTTCCGATGATGCTACCACACGAGCACATCATCCCTCGACAAAAGAAGGATTTGCACCACCAACACTTCATGGAAACGAAAGTTTTCAGCAGAAAACCCCTCATCCTACTCACCGTGACCACCAAATCATGTTTCTACCTTTGTATCAATAAGTAGAGAACCTCATCAAGATGGTGAATATTATGATGGTCTATGAGAAGATGCCCGAGAAATTCTTTCATTCTCAAGTGAAAACGGTTCAAGGGAAGCTTTCTGAGATGATGTTAATGATGCCTCTAACCAGTCAGGGTGCTTGAATAGAACATGTTTGGCAACTTCAGCAAGCTATCATAGATAAGAGAAGAACTAAGATATTACTACTACAAACTCACTCAAACCGATCGTGAAGCCATGAGCTTTGGTTGCAAAATCTTAGAAACCCAAGAAGCTATTAGTGAAGTTAAATACTACATAGATAGATTCATTAGAGAAATCAAGGAGGGCCAATGTGTAATGAAGACCCAAACTAATGACAATGAGAAAGTGATCAAGAACATCACCAAAGCATTGGAGAGGAATGACGCTACAATCATGAGGCTGTTCAAGGAGCAAAAGGAGCTCAACAATCTCCTCGATACAACTCTTGGCAACAAAGAAAAGAACTCTGTGAGTTCTTTTGAACAAAGGAACTAAGACACTCCTGCTTTTTCAAGTCAAGAAGATACCTCCAAAGCTACACAATTCACACCCAATCGCCCATCCAAAGAAGGAACCAAGCGAGTCCTCTTTGCACCATGCAACACTACCCTCCCATTCAAGGACGCAGATGACAATTCTTCTACAGCAAGGCGCAACCCAAATTACTTTGCTTTCTCAAAGTACAAGCCAAGTCAGACATTCTCATCTGACAGCTTGCGGGAGTCTTCTCTAGAGCCTTCCGAGGAGGACTCTCTCGTTTGTTCAGCAAACAAGGGCTCAATGCAAGAAGAAACACGCCTTGGGAAGCAGATCAAGATAGAAATAGATTTATGAAGTTCCACCCGAAAATAAAGAAGGTGCAATTGTTTGTAAGTTTTGATGAAGCCTGTGAGAAGTACAACTTGAAGCAATACTTTGAAGATAGTGAGGAAAGCAAAATTTAGATCAAACGATACTTCAGCCAAGCAAGGCACAACACGACAAGTGACTACAGTGAGGGCAGTGCATGTGCATCAAACTGAGAAAGCTGAGAAGAGACCCAATAAGATCAGCCTAGTAGACCTGGATTATAGGGATAGTTTGTAAAACTTATTTTGTCTCATTTTTACTATCATAAGTGAATGCTTAATCAAGTATTTCACTAAGTTTTTCATGCATAAACTATAGAATTTGAGTATTTGTATGGTCAAGACTCTTTTCAGATAAATTTAGCAACAATAGTACAAAAAGGAGCAAAAAGAACATTTTCGGAATAAGTGAGAAATGACAGAAGTTTAGCATCAGATGAAGGATTTCCCACCACGATATCAAGCTGGATTTTGGTAAAAGCTTAATCTACTAAATTTTACGCCAAAGTTATTTGAGGACAATTCCACGGTTGGATCTCAAGTTATGAAGCAAGCAAGAAGACCTGTCAAAACACCAAGGAAGCAAGCTGGCCACGCCAAGCAAGTTCCACACTCTCATTGGCTACACCACCACCCCTCGCTCTCCCAGCCACTTCACTTAATGTACTCAAGCCCATTTGCAGCACTAACTTAATCTTGCACCCATCAAATGCGAGTCTAACCTAAGAGGAACCTACAAAATGATCAAGACCTATAAATACTTAGTTCTATAGTTCTCATAAAAAATAATCTATATGCTTTTGGTGACTCTTTCACATCAGCCAAAATTTTTTATTATTGCTTTTGTTCTTCACGGAGAGATATTTTCCTTTAACCCTCTTTATTTATATTGATTAATCGAAGCTTTTCATTCATTCATAATGTTTTGGTTTAATTTAATGACGTGTTAGTAGTTCATTTTCGCTGAGATACTTCCAACGGGTTCTTAGAGGACTTTTATTAATTATTTTATGTATCTTTTTATATAGCCGTATTCTAGGGATTTCTTTCGTCTAAGTGTATTCTTACATTATGTATCTACAATCATTAACTAGAGACTGATCTTAAGGTAGACCGTAGCCATTAACATGTTAAATCAGATCCCTTGGCCCAAACTTAGCTGAGTGTCACGTCACAAGGTGCGATCGCATACTTACAGAGTGTCATGAACATTAGAAAAAACCATATCAGTTATTGTGTGCTTGATTGCATTGTGGGATGTGACTACATACCTAAGAGCACCTCCATTGGAGGTATCTAACACAAATATCTCAACATTAAAATATAATAAAATAAAGAAAAAGAAGAAAGATAATGAAGAACCATCTCTTATTTTAGAGATCTTTAGATACACTCCTTCCACACATCATCTTATAATTAGTTTATTTTTTTTAAAAGATAAAAATAAATTAAGTATTTAACATATATTTAAATACTAATATTTCATTGTTGAAATATTCATTTTGAGTATGTAACCAATAGATGTTCTCAAAGAAATAATCAAAGCATAGACTATCTATTTTGGAAAGTATTTAGGTTATAAAACTGTGATTCAAGTTTAGAAAAACTTGCGCCTGATCTCGTTTGCTTGTGTAGTTGTTTAATTTTTAGTTATAACCCCAAAGGATTCCCGAAATGACCCCAATATTTATTCCCGTAAATTTATCACACTTTACACACTTTCATATCGCACTTCAGTACTGTTATTTCTGTTACATACTTTTAATATCATATTTTCAATTATTTAATTTTCTGCACCGTCTTTACCTTTTTACTTTAAGTTTAATTTCATTTTCCATTTGTTATAGGCTAAGTTGACACCTATGTTCTATATTAACGTTGATCTGCTTTCAATACTTTCATTACCTGCAAACCCATAAATCATGACACACAAAAAAACCTCATTTTTATATCTTTGGTTGCTCTCATATTTTTTTGTTTTGCAGTGGACCTCCCCGTAGATCGACATCTTAAGTACTCAACGCACACTACACACACTATGCACTTGTAACTTAGGATTTTCTACAAGAGGTGGTCCATTATTGATCACCAATTCTGACTCTATCAATTGTCTCACACCCAAAGGATGTTTGATCAATTGTCCCTAAGAACCATTTATGGAATTTACATATTTAGCTCATGAGAATGATTCTT